GGAGGAGGGGTTGGGGAGGGGGGAGTGGTGCGAACGCCTTTGCCTTGCTTACAAAGCAGGTGAAACGTAAACAAAACATAATTGAGTGCAGGGCTTGGCAGGCATAGTCGAGAAGGGGAGAGGGGCGCCTAGGCGGGGCCGAGGCCGCTCAGCTTCCCACGGCCCAGGTGCCCCGGGCCCCGGGTGCCCTCGGCGGCGCCCCGCCCGCACCGGCCCCGGGAGCCCCCTGGACGTGCCCTGCATAGCGCCACCGTATCGGCGCCGCCCCCGCCTGACCGACCGCGCTCCCCTATCCCGATACAATCTTGCATTTCACCGCCGTTTTCGCCGGCGGCCGGTCGGTGGGAGCGGACGCCCGGACGGGGGGAGGGGGGAGGGGGGAGGGCGTGCCAGGCTATGCGAGCGCTTCACTTCAGTGGCGTAGCTGCGCGGCTCGGCCGAGCACGGCGCCGCCCCTCCTCCACAATTGGTACGCTACGGTCTGGTCAGGGGTGGATGAACAGCTCTCCCGCATTATCAGAGAGGTCAGCGCGAGGCGCGGGCCGCGGGCCGTCGTCGGGCGCGACATGTACAGCTCCTCAGTCATCAACAAGTGGCCGTCAGCGCAGCTCAGACCGCCCGGCCCGGGCCACTGGAGCACGATAGCACGAGCTGGTCCCCGACGGCCTCCCGCCCACGCCACGCCTACGCCATGCGAGGCGGCTTGCTGCAGGTCGACCCGCACACGTGACACTCGGGCCGGAAGGTAAGCGTCGCGCCGCGCGCCGCCGCCGCCGCCCCGCTGCTCGCCATGACCGCGCTGTGTTTGGTGTGCAGGGCCCCGCCGGCCCCGCCATGCCCGTCGCCGAGATGGTGCCCCGGATGGCGAGGGGCTTCCACTGCAGCCTGTCCCTGCGGGCGTGCACCATCACACTCGCGAGCATCCAGCTGGTGAGGACAAACGAGCCGAAACAAACATTTCATTATCATGTGACTGTGACACCATTTTGACAAGAACAAGTCAACGGCCCGACTTTATCTCGAAAACTCTTTTCAATGTCAAGTCCCAGGATAGAAATCAAATGTCGAAATTGCGAAAACGACGTTGTTTCGGTGGGACTTTGTCACCTACATCCTAAAGTTTGGATTTTGACGTTGGATCGACGCCGATTCCATTCAGCATTTCTGTCTCGGAGTGATCACATTGAGTTCCAAGGGGAGGAATGAATGAATATGAGTGACTATATTTCGATGATGGACTTGGAAGCATATGCGTCATTGGACGAACGGAATCCCCTCCATCTATCGCATGTGCTGGGGGAAGCTCCTCGACAAACCGGGGACCAGGGGCGGCTCACTCCGGGCCGTTTAGGAGATAGCGCGTGGCTATCTCTGTCTCTCTTTACCCGTAAGAAGGTCAGTGGTGCGAGAGAGAGAGAGAGAGAGATCAACTCGCGATCTCGGAGTGAGACGACCCTGCCGGGCACCTTTTTGTTGTTCCGTGGAGTCTTCTCCGCGCTGCCCCGCCGCCGTAACGCTTCCAGCGTGTAACCCCGCGGCCGCGGCCTTGCATTGGCGATAAGGTCACCCCTTATCGTCGCAAGTGCCGGCGGTCGTCACATGGAGAACTCTGTGGCCCTGTGGCCTCTAGTGAGCCGCCTGAAAGGTTGGCAAGTTGTGCTACAAAAAAAAAACGTATGTAGGCAACCGATAGTGCATCACCCGCCCTGTCAGCCGGAACTTAATCGGCGCCAGTGGCGATTGATTTACACACTTCAATAATTAGCAGAAAACACCACTCCACCCCCTAAAAAAATCATTTCAAAATCCAGGGTCTGGGCCGGAAAAGGGGGGGCGTCATTGTTCTACGTACAGGGTACAGGGTACGTACACGCCGGACCGAACTGTTTTCCGGTTTATATACTGTACCACACCTGCTTGCGGTACAGTATGAACAGGAAAAAATTCCAGCGTAGAACACCCTCCCAGTGTTCTGACCAAGCTTTAACGTTTTTTGTTTTGTTTTTCTCTCTCTCTCTCTCTTTTTTTTTTTTTTTTTTTTTTGCTTCCCTAGACCGTGTCTTTGATCAGCCTCATCAGTACGCTGATACTCGAGGTCGCCACGATGCGTGATCCCCAAGATGCCCTTCGCGACGACTTTGACTACAACAACTACGACGTCGAGAGTGGTTACGAGGAGCTGGAACTAACAACAAGTGCTCCCGAGCCAAAGATGTCCGTATCCGACGTCACAGGGGAGTCTATCTACCCCAGGATCATCTACATTAGCTTTGTTTTCGAAAGCGTGAACTTGATTCTTTGCTTGCTCGACGTCGTATTGAGCTGCACCCTAATCGCAGGGGCGGCGAGGGTGCGTATCAACCTGCCTCTGGCCTGCGTTGCGATGCGAACAGACGTCACTGACAATCAATCACTGATATTCTACCAAACCTTTTCTGCGCAGAGACGGGCCTCCCTTATTCGCCCATGGCTTTTCCTTGGGGCAGCCTTTCTCATCTACGACATTCTTTACTTCGTGGTTACCACGGCCGAGGGTCTTCACTTCATGTACCGGTTTTCAGAGCTGCTACACATTCGTAAGCACACTCGCATCCTGTTGGTTTCACCTTAACCACGTATGGCTGTTAAAAATGGACGATTTTTGTCGCAGCGTTGGCGGCTTACCTGTGGGTCGTGGCTTGGAGCTTGTACCTGGACTGCAACGAGGAGGCCAGGAGGAGCGCCTCCTCGCCCGTCTGCATGTCCGCCCTGGTGGAGGACGGCGAAGAGGACGTCGATCAGTGTTCCGTGCCGTACGCCACTCTTGGGAAACCAAATTAAGACTTTTGTAAAACAGAACTTAAGTAATAAAAAGATGTAGATATAATGGTTATCAGTGCATAACATACACACTGCTAGTCATAGCGAAATATATTATTCTTCCTGACGGGGTCACAAGGGCTGCCACACACACTTTACACAGACATACACCACGCGCCGTGCGGGGGCGCGAGACCCCGAGACCAGCGAGACCGGCTAGTGCCGCCATCTAACGGACTGACGGTGGAGGAGGCGGGAGGCGGGCAGTGTTGTGCGACAGAACTGTAACCTCAGCACCAGTGATTTTCTGGGTATTTAAATCAAGGTTTCGCGTATTTCTTGTTGTTTATGTGCTCTGATGAGTATTAGATTACAATATGCGACCAATTTTGCCCAAAACTCAACCTTATTTTCTTATAAAATTCGGCACTGAATCTTTTTAACCTATGCTATGACTGGAGGCCGGCCGGGCGATGTGGCTACTAAAGTTCAACTAGTGTTTTCTTACTGTCTCGCTCATCTCCCGAGCTTGTCGTGCCCTGATTTTCACTTGAATACAATCTGCTACTAGTTTTACGTCCAATCCGATCTTATTTTACGTAAAATATGGCGTACAATCATTGTAACCTGTTATTCAAGATGGTCTTTTAAGCAGTAACACGAGACTTCGTAGGTTATGGTATTGTGCCCCCGTGTTTTTTTCCACGCATTCTTCTCAGCTTTACTGGAATGGTTAATTTTGCTCATTGCCAGACGAGGACAACGTCATGTCTGCCCAGCCACGTCCGCTCGTCGGGTTCGCAAACCTGGGAAACACTTGTTTTGTGAACTCGGCCTTGCAGGTGAGAGCTTCACTACAAAACACGGGTTCAAACAAATAAAAAAATCAACAAATCTTATTTGTACGTTGTACACAGGTTTTGTTCAGTTCGAAAATTATTCTGGCGCGTATAGCGTCTCATGTAGCGCCTGGCTTTCACAAGAACTGCGTGGCTTGCGCCGTGGCGGTGGACTATCTGCGCGCTCTCCAGCGGGTAGGTTCGGATGATGAAGTGTCACCGGACCAGACCCTCGGCCAGCTGCAAAGTTAGTTCACAAAATCCCTCTTCTCTATCGATTTTATTCGAGCATCTCTGTCATTTGGAATGTTTCCATATACTCAGGGCTTATGCCCGGTGTGGTGCCTGGCACCCAGCAGGACAGCCACGCGTTTCTGCTGAGTTTGCTGAACACTATTAATAACGAGCTGGCCGAGCACCTCATAGAAATGGGGGAGTATGTGTTCATAAGTAAGTCGTCCATCGCAGTGCCATTTTTTTTTTCTTTGTATGAATTAGTATGTTTACCCTCAAAGTGGGCTCTAATTTCAGCCGAGTGCAACAGCTGCAAAGCCTACTCAGAAAATCCGAACCCATGTTGGAACATTCCCGTTCCTGTGATGGAATCGATAGATGCGGCGCTCGATGCGTACTTCACTCCAGAGTGCGTGAGTGGTGAGGAAAACAAAATCCAATGCAGAGCGTGTGGTGTGAGGTCGACCGTTACCAGGTCACAAAAGGTTAAGATCCCACCCGAAATTCTTATTGTCCAACTAGCAAGGTAATTAGCTCTAATCAATGAAGAACTTGTGCTCATGCTAAGCCAGGGGCGTACTAAAGGGGGGGGGGCGGACACTGGGGGCGGTGCATCGAAAGTTGCTGACGTACTGGGGTTTTGTAGGTGAAATTGCCTACCTTTAGGCGGCTATGTAGTGGCCCACAGGGGGGCGATTGCCCTCCCCCCCCCCTTCTTACTACGCGCCTGTGCTAAGCACTGGAGGAGGGGGGGAGCGGGTAGGAGTGAGGTGTGTTCCACCTCGCTGTGCTAGGAGTGTCGCGAGCTTGGTCCTGGTTGGGATAGGTCAGGGGTCTCTTTGCGTGGACAAACGGGCCGCACGGGGAGGGAACTTTTGTCTGTCTCGCACTTGCGCACGCCGCACTTTGTTACATCCCCCCACGTGGCCTTCCCCTTGCAGGTTCCAGTTCAAGGAGGGGCGCCTGCAGCGCGTGGATGGCCTGACGCTCATCCCGATGGAGCTGAACCTATCCCAGTACCGGGGGACACTCACACCGCCGCGCCCCGAGGACAAGATGCGGTGCGTCGGCATGGTGATTCATACGGGGCACAGCCTCCAGCACGGACACTACCGCGCCATCACCGTCACTGGAAAGGACAACTTCCACCTCTTTGATGACCGTGTGGTTAGTTACGCTTGTGGCTCTGCCATTATCTGCCTTGATGCGTCCCCAGTAGCGCCAAACGCATTAAATGCGCTTCAATGCGCATCGAAATGCACATAAAAGGTGACACCTTGGTGACGCATTACATGCGCATCACAGCATTTCATGCGCATTTCGTGCGCACTGCGCGCATTTAATGCCTTACCAAAGGTGTCACCTTTTATGTGCATTTCAATGCGCATTGAAGCGCGTTTAACGCAGTGACGCTTTTGAAACTCTGAATCTCACTTTATTGTAATAATAGGTCAGAGCAATGCAAGCAATTGGTGCATACGAGAGGGATGATGTGTACTTCGTTGTCTATGAAAGGTATGTAAATACTTAAAAGAGTCTACCCTCGCTGCATCGTGCTCAGGCTCAGGAACTACACGTGCATGTGTTTAATACGTGTTCAAGGTCAACTAAACCGCCCCACCGACAGCAACCACTGGCATTCCCAACGCCAGCGGTTAAGAACTACCCCACGGATACGGCATCCCCGGAAGACGTACTGCGCGCGGATTCACCTCTATCGGACCGGCGTCCCTGGCTGCAGGATCTGGTACCGTCGCAATCCGAGCAGTCCACCCCGGACACGACCAAGACGATAGTCCCCCTCAAACCAACAAAGACATACGAGAAGCCCAAGAAGACTCAATCGTCGACCACAGCACAGACGCCCGCTCGCCCCTCGACAGAGCGCACCTCGTTCTCCTTCTCCAGAGATGTTCTGAGAGATGTGCCGGGTTGGGCCGGCATCGATGGTAGTGGAGTTGAAGGTCGTTGGCAGCCTCTCGCGGACGAGTCCCTGCCCCCGCAGCACCTGAGCAGCGGCAGCGAGACTCTAGGGTCAGCTCGACCGGACCCGCGACGGCAACCAGGGGCCTCCTCGCCACTAGCCGCATCCACCCCTACAGCAACTGCAGGCGCAGGTCTAGCGAGGCGTCTCTTGCGACTTCCACCCCCAACTACATCCACGCCGATAAGGTAAAATATTCACCAGGTGACTGACTCGCCGCGTCCACATTCGCAGTTACTACAAAGGACTGCTCTTTTGCTCCGTGCTGCTCGCTCGCGTGCATGTGTTTATCGCCCATCGCCTATGACCATGGCGCGCCAAGGCGCCTTACGGCCCCATCGGGTAGGCAACCCGTGCGCAGACATGCATGCCAGTGTAGTCCACCCACTGTATGAAATAGTTGTAGGTTCTACTGGAGAAGCGTGTCGTTAAAATTACAATTTAAAATTATAAAATTACAAGCTATACGTACGGACTTGAAATTCATCGACGACCAATAAGAGTAGGCTGTCGTAAATTTGCAATTTATTTATCGTATTTTGCACATAGTTAATTATAAAATATATCGTAAATTTGCGAGCATGTATTTCACAGTTCCTAAGGAAGTGGGCGGTGCGAATTAGGCCCAGTTATTTCAAGAAAACTTATCACGCGAACTATGAGAACACTTGAGGTGCGATGGGGGTTTGCGAAACCAGCAGGTCTATTACATTCACCACCAGGGATGGCGCTCTCCCCGCGCTCGGCGCGTCTAGACTAGGCCGAGGTCTAGACCGCGCTCCGTTCACCCCCATCGCCCGAGAGGAGGGGAACGGAGCACCGTCTAGACAACTAGTGCATCTCTGGTGGTGAATGTAATAGACCTGCAGCAAAACGTGCGTGCGTGTGTGTGTGTGTCGTCGAGGGGTCCCCTCCTCACCTCTCACCCGTGCGCCCACCGAGTCGAGGATAGGCAAACCCGCAATAACACGGCGGCGCGTGCTCTGAATCACCCGGTACTTGGCGTGTAAAGGGACAGCACTTAACGGCATGTGTTTTGTGATGTTTTCAGGGCCGTTGACGAGACTGAAGCATCTTCCGAATCCGACACGACCGCGACAAAGACCATTGTCCCCCTCAAACCAACAAAGACTTACGGGAAACCTAAGAGTGACTCGTCGTCTACTGCGCCCCGGAAGGCGCCCGCGGCCCCGTCGCTGTCCTCACCGTCCTCCACCAGCCAAAGAGTTCAAGGTCGTTGGCAAATCCCTAGGGTGGACGAGTCCCTGGGCCCTCAGCACCTGAGCAGCGGCGGCGAGACACTTGTCCTTGCATCCCCGCAGCATGTCGAGGATCCCCGTTCGGCTTCGGACGTGGTCGCCAGCGCCCTGCGTGCCTGCGGGGGAGGCCTCTCGCCCCTCGCGACTCCCAGCCCCCAGGGGCCCAAGCTCCCTCTGCTGCTGACTCCTAGCCCCATCAAGAGCACGGACTTCACGGACCTGGAACCCATGTGGACGTGGGCGACCCGCTCCGACCCCGGCGCCTCTGCGCTGCGCTCGACGTTCCGCCCTGTCCGCACCGACGGGGCCCTGGTGGGCCCGTGGTCGGACTCCTCCGAGGAAGAGCCGCGGGACCGCCTGCCCGCTCCCACATCCTGTCACGAGCCGGTCCCCGTCCGGCACCTCAAGTGCACGGAGTGCTGGGCCAAGTTCCGTGACAAGAGGTCATTGCAGCGACACCTACTGAGGCACTCTCTTGTCGGATTGAGTGATCGGCGGCTCTATTCATGCTGCTATTGTGCTTCATCGTTCCGTACTGTCGACCTACTGCATCGACACTTAAGACTCCATGTGGATGACAGTGATTTGCTGCAGTGTCCGAAGAAGTTTTGCAGTATGCAGTGCCGTAATCTCAAGAGGTTGCACCGCCATCTGACTGCGCACCGCCTTGAAAAGAGGTTTTTCAACATGCCACAACGCAATCCAGAGAGGTTGACTTCCCCCAACACTCGAACGGATCGAAACCAGCGTGAGGCAAGTGATTGGCTTCGCGTTGCCCGTTATTTTGTTTACACCGAGACATGTTTTTACTATGTGTTGTTTACAGGAGACGAAACCTAAGGCTAAGCAGTTAAGACACCAGTGCCGCTTATGCAAACGGTGTTTTGATGACTGCAAAACCCTCCGTCGACATCATAGAACATTTGGAGAACGCGGAGATCAAAAGGAATGCCGCGCTTGCGAGCGGCGGCGCCAACGAATTCAAAACTTGAACGACAAAAAGGAAAGAATCGTACCTTGGGAAAACCACAAAAACTTCATTCTCCGCACCATTGGGCTTTGGTCGTAGTTCCAGTCGGAGAGTTTCATTCATTCCTTCATTCGAAAAGGTCGTATTTTTGCCGGCAAACTGGGCCATGACGAGCTATGGGCTGCAACCAATCACGAAACGAGTTTCAGCCACGGAAGGTTAGCCAACCTAATCTTTCACACAAGTTTTGTCACTCAACGAAGCTTCTGTAAGGGTTTCACTTGGAATTATTTTTGAGAATAGTCACATTTTAGATCAATTGTTCGTCTTCATACAATTTAGCGCATTTTCCAAAAGCTGAAGCTACTTTCTTAAGTTTTCCATTCTGTGTGATGCGGTCTCGTGATTTTCGGAGAGGGCGCTGAATGTGTCGTCCGTCATATGACACTTCTTCCATCGATCCTCCCGAAACATAATTTTGACTATCTTTAACATTTCGGGCCTGTTTTGGGTAGTTTACAAGACTTTATTTCCACAATGAAGCTACGCAACTTGCTGCTCTACATCGCGAGCCTCGCTCTGCTTTTAGCAATCATCGTGATAGTGCTTTTCTATTTACTATCTGGGCGAGGAGAGCAACTGAGTATTGGTTGGTTCTTGTCAGAAACCTCCCCATACATGTGGGCAACATTAGGCATTGGACTTTCTGTTGCCTTGTCTGTCGTCGGAGCTGCTGTGGGCATCCACACGACCGGTGTGAGTATTATTGGAGGTGGTGTCAAGGCACCCCGCATCAAGACCAAGAACCTCATCTCAGTCATCTTCTGCGAGGCGGTGGCCATCTATGGCCTTATTACAGCTATTGTTCTGTCTGGCCAATTGGAGCAATACAATGCTGCTACAATCACAGAGGAAAAGAAGATTACAAATTACATGTCTGGATACCTCATGTTTGGTGCTGGTATTAGTGTAGGCCTCGTCAATTTGTTCTGTGGTATGGCAGTCGGTCTAGTTGGTTCTGGTGCTGCTCTCGCTGATGCTGCAAACTCTGCACTCTTCGTTAAAATTTTAATTGTGGAAATCTTTGGAAGTGCTATTGGTCTCTTCGGTTTAATTGTGGGAATTTACATTACTTCCAGTGTTAGAATGGGTGATAACTAAATGTCAAGTTACTGAAGAGTATTATGTAGCCTGAGATCCTCGACTTGTGTCAAGGCATATGACAGAAAACGATTTTGAGTGTTGCATTTAAGAGTCGAGAATCTAAACCTTGTTATCATACATATTTGTGTTGGCAAGTATGTGAAGTATGTACCATTATTCATTCTAAGTCACTATAGCAGCATCAGGCTACTTATCTGGAGCCTTCAAGTTTATTGTGGGTTCAGCTATCTGCTGAGCACCATTGTAGCTTCTGGCAATGTGTAAACAATCAGTCTCATACTGTTACTGAAGATGAAAAACAGACCTCCTGATATGTAACTGTTACTTTTTCCCCATAAAAACTATTTTCAGTATTCGCAACTATGGTCTGAGCTGTTCCACTAATACCACCTTTTGCTGCTTTCTTTTTTTCATTTGTCATGTTTTAATAACTTCATTTTGTCAATGTATTGGCCGAAATACATTCCAAATTTGTATATAGACTGTAGGCAGGCACATGGAATTATCAGACGCCTTAATGTCAGTTGTTCACTATTGTAAATTAACTCTATCACCAGATTTTTATTTTATTTTTAGCCACTCATTGATCAACGTAGTGAATGATTGTGTATTGTATTTTTCTGTTGTTGAAATTGTAAAATATGTGAGAGTGAGTTATGTTAATGTCTAAGCTACCAGATTTTTCTGAGCTGCTTCCAAATTTAAACACATGTTATTAATTATTTTACTTTTGATTTGTGGAGTAATTTTCATATTTTGTTTTGTAGGGATATTACTGGTCTGTCTTGTAAATATCTATGCAAATATTCAGACAATTAGCATTCAAATTGTTAAAAGCTGTCCTGCTTCTTGTACTGTACTTAACAGATTTAAAGTAAATGGAAAAAATGGTTAACAGCCAATTTTAATGTATCTTTGTTGAAAATATATTTCAGCAATGACTATCTTCCCCTTTAATTTAACAGAGAACTGTAATTATAGGAATAAATTAAAGGACATTCAAGACTCAGATTGTTGTTATTTGTCCCACTGAAGAGTTATCAGCAGTACATTTTATTTTACTGTGAACATCATCCAACATCACAATTATAGGACAATTACATATTCTCTTGAGCAGAATTTGAAGAATCAACATTCTCCTCAATTTGTGCATTCTTTAAGGCATCCACTGGAGTTGCTTCAGCATCTTTTGATTCTGCACTGCTATCCACGTGATCTGTCTTGTCAGGTCTCTTTAAGACTTCCCCTTCTGTGGAATCATTCGATTTCATCAAAATATTTGATGGATTGTCACCAGTCTTATCATCAGACTTCAATTCGGGCTCAACTTTTAATTCAGCTACCTCTGTAGGATCACTGGACTTAGCTGAAGAACATGAGATACTTTCACTTGAGATTGAATCTTCAATCTTTGAATTTGAACATCTAAGCTTGGCCACTTCAAGAAGGTTGTATTTTCGGTAATGGTAGTATTTGGGTACAACAGCCATACAACAAATATTCTTAATGACTTCCACAATTATAGTCAGGTCCGGTTGTTTCATATCAGCCCGATGTAATGGATTACGAACTTTAATGTCACTTGCTAAGTCATGAATTAGTTCTTCTCGCACGACATTGCCATTATTCCTCCGCCTGTAAGAAAATTGTAGGTTATTAAACATAAACAAATGCAAGACTACAAAATAAACATTGAATGTGTAAAAGTGTATAAACTATGCATACTTAAAAACCACACAAAAAGTTTTGGGGTCTCCTTTAAAATATTTATCTAGAAGCTTTCCTGAAGCTGCTTTGATGTCTTCGGGCCAAGCCTGTAAAGCATAAATATAATTACAAGACTCATATTTATAACCATACCACATGAATATCCACTTTACAATAGCCTTACTTTGCATGTGATTTCAATAGGTAAAAGACGCATCAGAAATCTAGTCTTTTGCTTTGATTGGGCCTCAATATCTTTAAGGATGGTTTCAACTAGAAGGACTGGGTCTTCAACCTGCATAATCAAGTAAGATTGGCCCAGGTTACAAAAAAAAATAATTGAAAAGTACAGAAAAGTAAAGATTACAATGCCATAGAGCTTACTGTTGAACGGATAAAAATACAGTTGTCAGCACCGGATTCAACAACTTGGAAACGACGTTGGCTTGGGCGCCTTTGACGCTCCTGCTTTAATACGTCTACTTCTCGTGCCAAGGCTGCCTCAATATCATCATTTTCCTCTTCATTTTCACTTCCTGAGTCTTTAAAAACTATTTTCTTGTTTTTTGGTTGAGCACTCTCTGCAACAGACTACAAGACACATATTTTTATCAAATCAACATGAGAAACCATACCAAGTGGCTATTTTGAACAGCTTACGCAGTGCCATAATAATAAGTTTCAATGAAAGAAAAGTTAACATAAGAGCAAAAAAAGAGTAAAATTAATAATGTATCATAGAAAACCTAACCTTATCTTCACCATAAATTTTATCAGCAAACTCCGTCAGAATGTTGATTGTTTCCCTTACACATTCCTTCTCGCGAAAATTACAAGTAGCTATGAAACCCTTTATGCCAGGATGAAGCGAAAAATCGAATTTGCCTTTTTTGTTAGCGCACTTAGCGTAATACGACGACTTCTTGCGTTTGTCGGCCATAGTGATCACAGTCTGCACATGTGAAGTTTAGTAAATGTTATGTGTCCGTTTCTCCGCCGGTGGCGGCTGCTATTATTGTTCTGCTGTAGATTCTCTGTAGCAGAAGACGTTCCTCGATGAGCTTTGTGCATACCGACTGTTCTCTAGTGGTCATATCGGGTCAGATCTTGGTACCACCGTAACCAAACCAAACAAATGAAATCCAGTAGTCCACAAGATGGTGGTGAAGAACTAGTGGGGTTCCTTTTCAAGGGTTGAGAAATCTCTTTTACGATTTTTTTTTCAAGGATTTCAGTCTGGATTTACCTTCATTATGCTTGTTCAAGAGCCTGTTCAGGTATGACCGTGTATTTAAAATTTCTCAGGCCGTTGGTTTCTCCTTGGCAAGCCTTTAAATTGGTTGGCTTGAACGCCTTTCTATGTTTGCCTTGTAACCCCGTCTGCCAATTTATTTTTTTTCATTATGAAAGAAGGGACACGGCAGTAATTGCGCTGTTGTTATTGCGCTACTATGCCCAGTGTCATGAAATTAAATGTTCTGTGCATTGCTCAAATGTGTTGTCACCCTTTTTGTGGAGTATTAATAACCGAAATCGTATTTAATTTCGTAGACTGCCCAAGTTTTTTTCGGTCGTTCATATTTAATTCATTATCAAATCATTCGATTATGTGAAATCTCTGAAATGGTGCGTTTCGTCGTTTTTCAGCACTTTAATTATTCAATGTCTGTGTTTTTGGTTGTTTTTGTTGTCTCTGGGAAAGCTGATGGACCAAATTTTTTATTAGTTCAGGGTTTGTCAATTCTGACAAAGATGATTTCATTTTACCTTAAATTCAAACACAATTACCAAAATTCAAGATATTTTTGTATTCCTATGTATTGATGTTATTAATCAATTACTGAATTAAACTGTTTTGTTGAGTTTACTGCATTGGGGATTAGTGGTACTAGTAATATAACCTTGTTTATAAAGTGGATCTGTCACTTCCCCCACCCATCATCAAACAGATTTTTATTTAAGGAGAAAGGAATTTTACTGATGTTCTGTCTGTGCTGTGACAACTCACGTTGTTTAAAAAAACAGTGCTACTTATGTTATTCCGTTATCTAACAAAGTTGTTTTTCTTTCCTTTTTTAAATAATATTTTTAGGCTGCTATTTGGCACTGTTTAAATCATTATGCCTATTCAGATGCCATTTTTCTAGCAGAAAGGCTTTGTGCTGAAGGTAAGGCTACAATATTTTACCTTGTTGGTTTCACAAAAATGCGTTACTGGTGCTTTAATCAGCTTTTAATATTTATTTCAGTGGAATCTGATGAAACATTGTTTCTATTAGCATCTTGCTATTATAGAGCAGGAAAGCCCAATCAGGCATATGCAGTCCTTCGAGGGAAGGGAGCTAGTTGCCCTCAATGCAGATTTTTACTTGCCAAATGTTGCATGGACCTTCAAAAGTAAGTACCTTCATCATATTAAGTACAATTCTATATGCAACCAACTAAGTTTTTGTATTTCTAATTATCTCTTCTACTAATTTTCTAGATTGTCTGAGGCAGAGAGTGTCCTAACAGGGGGAGACATCCTAAATTCTAAAGCACTTGAGAAGGTTGTTGCTGATTTTGGGGACCAAGCTCCTTTTGCTCTTCAGCTTTTGGGGAAAATATGTTCACAAACTGAGAGAGGAACCTGTGCAGCTGAAGCATATAGCAAAGTTTGTTCATTTTTACTGAATTAAAATTTAACCCAAACTTCACTGTATTTTTGTACAGCATGTGTCTAATCTAACTTTTCATCTTCAGGCATTAATCTTAAATCCATTTCTCTGGCAATCATTTGCTGAGTTATGTCATAGAGGAGAAAAGCCAGATCCTCAGAAAAGTTTTCAAGTTCAACACTTGGATAGTTTTGCAATGTGCCATGGAAGTAATCCAGTCATTGCCTTAGTGAACAATCAAAGTGATGACAGCACTACACATTCTAGCTCTGGTGGTGGGACAGTCAGTGGCAATGTGTCTTGCACTGCATTTGAATCCTCTTTTCACACAGTTAATTCGTAAGTTCTTCTTTGTTTTTTCTCTCTACTTTGACAAAATTGCAATCCTTTTCACTATTTCTGTTGTGTTTTCTCTCTAGCACCCCTGTTCAGGTAGTGCAGTGTTATTCTCAAGTTCCACGCCTCACATTTACTCCAGACGACAGCCCATTAGCGAATCCACTCCCACCCTCAACCACAGCTAAATCATCACGGTTTCTCAGTGCCTTGTCATATGGTTCTCTAAGTCCTCTAACGCCAAGGTAGTATTTATCTCATATTGTGTTAATTCTTAACTACGTATTCTGCTCCTTGTTTAATGCTGTAGTGTAATGTTTACAGCTTTGGAGTCCTTCCTCTTGAGTCTCCAGCCTCAAGTGACAGTGTTACATTTATGTCACCTGTACAGTCATCAAATATGTTGTTAGAGGCGAATGATCAGAAGGTGTTAGCAAAGCGCACTAGTAGACCTCGCACTCATGTTGGGGTAAGTTTTATATGTTTCCAAGTGTGTATCTTGAACTTTCAAGTCAGGCAACTTTTGTCTTCTCTTGAATGATTTATTTTTATTATCTGTTCAGGAAAGCTTGTGTACAATTTCTTATTGTTTGTTTCCTAGCATATATTGAATCGGAAAGAAACCCCGCTTCAAGGTAAAGTGTTCTCTCAATCAGGGAACACAAGCCATGCAACCCAGACAGCAGCACCACTCCCCAATTCATCACTTCTTGTAGGACATCATGGACAAAATGTCAGGCGTAGCTCTAGGCTGTTTAGCAGCAGTAACTATTCTGTAAAGGTAAAACTGGCCCTCTCTTCCTTCAAAATTATCGATGAATTTATTCTGTTGTAAAAATTACTAACCTTGCTTTGGGTTTTTAAGGAAAATAACAAAAGCCCAAGTCGTAATAAGTTTGTTACTCCAAAATCACCGTCAAGGAAAACTAAGACTAGAAATATGTCCAAAGCTTCCTTAAGCAATAAGTCATCCTACAATGAACTTAATGAACGAAATAAGTCTACAAATGTGATGGAGTGTGAAAAGACTGAAACCATTTCTTCAACAGACAGTAAAGCAAACTTCAACACATCATCTTCTTCAGTAAACGCCTCTCAACAGGCACTTCTACTTCAGAAGCAGTCAGCTGGTAACTTTTGCTTACCTTCAATATGTTTGGTGTGGTAACCTCTACTGTACTTAACTAGCAAAATGTTTATCCTAACAGAAGGCCTCATGGCATTGTTGCGAGAAATTGGTACTGCATATCAGCACCTCTCACAGTACAATTGCCGCAAGGCCATTGAATGCCTGGAGGCTCTTCCACCTCAGCATTTCAACACAGGATGGGTTCTAGCTCTGATGGGTAAAGCATATTTTGAGCTCAGTGATTTTGAGACATCTCTCAGGTATGTTTATTAAATAATCTTAACACATATGTAAGTTGATTTAATTCTTTTATCAAATTTTCAAGTATATATGATTTTGGTTAGGTACTTCCGGGAGGTTCGAGATCGTGAGCCACATAGGACTCAAATGATGGAAATAATGAGCACTGTTCTATGGCACCTTCAACGTGAAGTAGAACTTTCAGCTCTTGCCCAAGAGTTAGTGGAGCAAGATCGAATGTCTCCTGCTGCATGGTGTGCAGCAGGCAATTGTTTCAGCTTACAAAAAGAACATGACGCTGCTATTAAATTTTTCCAGCGGGCTGTGCAAGTTGACCCCAGTTTCGCTTATGCCTACACTCTCTTAGGTCATGAGTATGTGACTACCGAAGAGTTAGATAGGGCCATGAGTACTTTCCGGTCGGCTGTAAGATTGGATTCTAGACACTACAATGCATGGTATGGCATTGGGACTATTTATTCTAAAGAAGAACAGTACCAACTAGCAGAATTCCATTTCAAGAAAGCTCTGGCCATTCATCCCCAAAGCTCTATTCTTATGTGTCACATTGGTGTGGTAAGTTGTTTTACAGAGGACAAAAGTTTTTCCATTACGAACAAGAAATACTTTGAAGTTGTTAAGCTACTCCTTCCTTTTTTTGCAGGCTCAGCATGCACTACAGAAAGCAGACAAAGCCCTTCAAACATTAAGTGATGCAGTGGCTAATGATCCAAAGAACCCTCTTTGTAAATTCCACCGAGCATCTATATTCTTTGCAGCAGGCCGCTATGCAGAAGCTTTAAAAGAGCTAGAGGAATTAAAGGAAATTGTTCCAAAAGAAAGTTTAGTCTACTACCTTACTGGGAAGGTATGCAAACTGAAAATAGTTTAACTGCAGTATATGTATCACATGGTAAAAGTATTTGTATCAAGCCTTACACAAATTTTATCTGGTTTAGGTCCACAAAAAACTTGGAAACTCCCATCTTTCCTTGATGCACTTTAGTTGGGCTACTGATCTAGACCCAAAAGGTGCTAATAGCCAAATTAAAGATGCTATAGATCCGGCTATCAGTCGAAATCTAAGCCAAGCTGATACATTAGACGATTCTACACAAACACATGCAGGTGAGTGATTTATTTTGTTACCTTTTATCATACCTATACTATGCCATCCATAGTCAATCCTATAATTAATTTAAAATGCCTGGTACAATTTTCAGAGGAAAACTATCAAAGTGAAGAGAGTTCTGTGCCAGCCCAAGATTCATCCCAAGAAGGAGGAGAGTATTCAGTGATGCAAGGAGGAGTCGAAAGTGATGAAAGCCTTTGACCTTTAACCCAAAATAGTTTAAGATCCATCCTAATATAGCATGCGCGTCCCCCTGTACTACTCAGAGTAGCTCTGAAATTCATTTCCTATTATCTCGCATCCCCCTCTTTCCCCTGTATTCTCAATAAGCAATATCGAGAATTTGTAGCCAAATCACGTACAACTGAAGGAACCTTTGGTGTCAGTATCCCACTGAGTGATATGTAATAGCTTGGAAATAAGGGAGAGAGGGGAGTGATTCTGCTGAAAACCTTTCATACTCTGCCTTTCGTTAACAGCTAAACTTTTCTTGTCAGGTGCTCCCTGTATTTTGGAAATTTTCTTGTCATTACCTTTGTAGGAGACCTACCTCTGTTAACTTTGACTTTAAAAAAAAAGGAAAAAAAAAAACTAAAGTTTTGTATGAGCAGTCTACTGAAAAAGCTTCTCGGCATTACTACCGGTTTACTCTTTAGACTCTTTGTGTGGTACCTAGTATAAATGTGATATCTTTTGCACTGGAGTCATGCTAGTTTTATATTATTAATTTGAACTGCATTTGATGTTGAATTACAATACTGTAAGTCACTTTGTCTTAATTGTTGTAAGCCTTGACATTACTGAGGCCTTGTTATTGTTTCAGTATTAGGTTCATCAGTTAAATACCAAAGCATAATCTCTGAATTTCTTTTTCAAATAATGATAAGATTAAAGGTTAGACTGCTGACTTTCAAATTAAATTCCATGGATTCTTTTAGCCTATAAACTATGAACAGAAATGTATCATAAACTTACATGTTTTTCTGGTGTAAGTAGGTTTAAATACACACAAATACCATTTGAATCATAGGTGCACCTAAGTGTTCTTCCAATCTGACAATAGGACTAAAATCATCAAAAAGCAATGTGGTTGAAAAAAATCAAATCAAAAATTTTGAGTGAAAAATTTCTTGTTACTTGTTACTTTAAAATAATGGTTTGAATCTCTGTGCCGAGAGGGAGAAGTATTGTTCGTCAATTAACAAAGATCAGCTGTGTATTTATAAGAGACCACATTGTTTTTCAAACTGCAGATAACTGCCATTTTGATATCTTGTGTAGGGCTGCTGTATGACTTAAGTTTTATATACATGCACTTGCAGAAAGAAATCTGTAAATATTCTGTCTATATTTTTAATTCTGGGATTATGGTATCTCATAAATGGGGGAGCCTGTAAATGAAAATAGTGATTGTGTGTTTGTATATATCTGTGTATGTAAGTATGTATGTTTGTGTTGATAAATTTGTGTGCTTGTGTGCTTAAATGAGTGATAATGTAAACATTTTTCTGTGTCTGCCAACTAGATGGAAGGTGATTCGTTCCAAGCTGACTTCACAGATATAGTCAAACTTGTATTTTCCATAAAATAATGTTATGACTGTGTTATCTGATTTGCTATTGTATTCTAATGGCACCTCTTTTGTAGGTTACCCTGTGCCCTTCCCTTTATTATATTAAGTTTAGATTCAAAAATTATACAGCAAATTTCATACTGATTTTTTTTTTTTTTTTTAAATGAAGGAATGTGCAATGAGGGGTGTTAAGTTTTTCTTTTATGCTTTTGATTCTATTGTTATATAGTTACCTATAGTTTGTATCCCAAATAACACTACTGTTTCTCTTATTTTGCCCTTACCTCAATAGCTTTATGTACTTTTTCAGAAGTTTAAATGGTATTTCACTTATACATCATTCTGAACAAATTTTTTTCAAAGATGAATAAATTTAACATAAATTAATGCAGTTTGTGGCTCTGAACACCATTATTTCTCGCTCCATGTGCCATACTGTGGACCAGTTTCCTCTGCTGAAAATTTGTTGAACTTTCTCAGCCCTTTCTGTGGCATTGTCAGTAAAGATTTAAAATATAAAATTTAAATTTAAAAAGTTCCCCATACAATTATTTTAATATGCATCCCACCCTTAAATTTGACTGTCTTTGCTTTAATTTTTTTAAATTATTATTGTTATTAAAGACTTGATAATAATAGCCTATGTGAAATGCATGCACCATATCCAATTTGAAAATTCTGTCGAGATTTCCCTCTGACCAATCTGTTAAGATGTTTTTCTATGGAAACTCTCATGGTTTACCAGGAGGATCTGGTAATGTTTTCCTGTTGCCTGACAAGGAGTTATTATTACTCTCATCCTCCCAAACGTATCAGGAATATGATTGCATGAATAATGGTAACTGCATGTATTAGGGGAAAAAAATTTGGAAAGTCTGCTGTTGAACCGTGCTTAGTTTTGATGGTAGGTTTAGAACATTGAAGTCAAATATTCCTGAATTCAAGTGAAGGTTGAATACTTTGTATACAAGGTACGGCTAGACTGATGCTGTCTTCAAGTTAGTCCCCACAGATTCATTCAAAGATGGTGAGCTTGTTGGAAATTAAAATCATGATTCATGTCATGAGTTTGCCATTCCTGGCGAAGGTTTATTTCAATTGTGTGGTGCCAAGTACATTTACGTCTCATGGATAGTTTGAAGTAAGACGTCCTGTCTGTTTTCTTGTTTTAGAAGTAAAACTGGCATTGTGGTCGATCCTATCTTTTATCAACTTGGTTCAAAGGGGCAAAGCCAAGTGATAAATTGCCAAGGTGTGTACATGAAGACATTCCTCTCAAGCTCAATATTTCCTAGATAATTCTGTACTCCTTGCAAGTGGGTCTTAGTATTAGTAATGGCATCGTAAGCAATAAATGTATGCCTTTTGTGGCTCATCACACTAACAAGCAATTTATCTTGTGCAAGATTTTAAAATGCAATCAGCTTCTTTTTTATTTAGATTGCCTGTGAAGTCTTTCTCTCTATTGCAGTAATTCAAGATTTCTCTTTGAAGTTACATCTGTAACTGCTTTGACTTTATGTCTTAAGATGAGTATGTGTGTGTGCTGCACTTATACTGTTCAAATGCATGAAGCAAAAGTTGAATTGAGCGTGGTTCTCATTCATTTTAAAGGTTTACTATTCTCTGTATGTATATATATATATTATTTTCGCTATATTACCTCCTGCTGATAGTATATTAATTTCTACAAGATTGGTTTATATGTGTTGTGTTACTTGAATATTTATTTGAATTACTTGGCAAAAGTGTTGTAGTATATGTTTTAAGGAACAATTGTACGTTAAGTGCTGAGCATTGGTGTATGTATATACTTAGACTTAGTAATGTGTTGCCTGCACAGTGTTTTCTTTTGTACAGATTAAAATTTATAAATTGAATAATTTACTTGAACTAATGAGAAAGCAGTGGTTTATTTATCAAAATAAAATGGTTTAAACCCAATTTTTTTTCTTACTGAAGATCTATTCAGACTTAAATATTAATCCACTATGTTTCTAGAAATTCCAACACATTTTTGGTGAGGCACCTTGCTGATTCAATACAATTATCGAAACCAGATCCAGTAAAGGAATCACCACCACTTATTAGAAGAGGTTTTTTCAGGATGCTGATTCCTCCAATCTTTCCAGGAAAAGGTGATGTGACCTATTAATCATGAGATAATTATAGCATGTATAATAACCAGATAATCAAGCAGGCTTAACTCAAAATATACTTTCTGAGAAGGGTAAATCACCTGGGAATATCTCCACTTATGGCATTTAATTGCCGCTGGTTTTGGCCATTTAGGAAACAGGTTTTTATATTCTTCTAGAAGAATTGGTTCCATATCAATCAGAGTTTTTTCAATGTTTTCAGAGCCAAATTTGACATTGCTGTGAAAAACAGCAGCTGGGGGTTTTTCTGGTCTGTTTCTTTTTCTGTTCTCAATAGAAGCATAGCGGAAAACAGGATTATTATCTATATACTTGGCTGCCCACGGCTCATGTTGCCCATCACCACTATTGAAATATAATGCTAATGCATAACGTGAGCTGAATTTAACAGCTCTCAATCCATCTTCAAGCTCTGGTTGGCTTTTTAACAGCAGAGGTACATCTCCACCTAACTGGAGAACTTGTGGTGCAGGTAGAGTTAGAATAACAACATCAAACTCCTCCTTTGTACCTGTTGTTGTCTCAACCTTTGACAAAAAATAAAATTAATTCATCGAGCAGATTAAAATATTAAATTTATAGTCAACCAAAAGTTTCTCTTTATAAAAATCACAATACCTGCAACTTTTCTCCTATTTGCGTGATTGCGGAAACGTGATGCTGGAACAAAGTGTCTTCCGGAGCACTCAGTGAAATCAAGTATTTGACCAGTGAACTCATACCATTGGGTGTCACAAAATGCTGAGTACCAGAGGGAAACTCTTTCATACCACTGACAGCTCCAAGAACTAAAGGTTCAATGATCTGATTTTCTAATAAGTTTCCATATATTTCTCTGAACAAAAAATGTTAAGATCAATAAACAGCATTAACAAAGCCAAAACCGAGGGTTGAAACAATTTCTGAAAACACAGAAAATAGTAGTTTCATTGGACTACAAACCGGTTCTTTTCAAAATTTTCTGGAAGGACTGTAATATACTGGGCGCCTAGATCGGCTAAACATTCTGAATCTCCAGAACTGCGGGAAGTACTCATACGACCACCTGCACCTCTAGCTTTGTCCCATATTGTTAAAGTGATACGATCTGCAGCTTGTTTTCTGAGTAAAGCACCTGTCAGTGCAGCGGTGATCCCACTACCAATCAATAACACTCTTTGGACCATTGTTTGCATGAATTAACCTTGTCTGAAAGAGATTGATGCAATCAACAATGAGAATACAACCGGCTAAGGAAGAGTATACTGATAAATAAATCAAATCTGGCAACATTTCAAACTCACACCAGCCACAAAATAGAACTGTCCACAACAAACAAACCTTAAAACGTAATGATTCTGCAGATTAGCAGAAAAGAAAGTTTCTAGCAGAAAACACCACTGATCTTCAAAATACAGCAGTGTTGATACGACTATGAAAAATTCCGAGATGATCAAAGATTGGGGAGGTAAAGGGGGAGGGGGGAAAAGGGAAGAAGAGCGAGGGCAGCGGCGGCAAGGGGCCAACAGTTCAAACGAAAGTGGGCGGGGCCTGGGTACGTCCCCTACGGCTTGGTGGGTCAGGGAGGTCATGGCAATCGATTTGGAGGCCGATGCCGATATACGAATGCCAATCTGGACCCGGGTACACAACGATAGTATGATGGTAATGAGCGGTAATGAGTAGGATTTTAAATTGAAAGAAAGCATCATAAGACGCACATTTATTTGTGAATTTCATTCAAATTAAAAGCCACATGTTAAAGACAGATAGAAGACGAGTTAAAACTGTAAGCAATTTTAAAATTCTGATGGAAACCAGCAAAACAGTTGAATTGAAACAAAAAAGACAACAAAAGAGGAAACATTGGATCAAAAACTAGGTGGAGTGCATTTAACAAACATCATATTCTATCTGAAGCCTTTAAGGCGGTTTACGATCGCAACGATGAAAGCGTCCACCGCTAGCGTTAGAACAATGCCCGGAAGGTCTCGGGTCCCCCTGATCACCGTGATCTGACCACTTCCCCAGCGTTATTCCAACGCCAGCGTTAAAGATACCCTGGATAAAAAAGTTAAGAGACAAAGTGGCAATGTGGGGGCAAGTGAGTGGCAGCAAAGTGTCAGTCAGCCCAGGTGGCATTTCAGTGAGTGTCATACAAATAGCAATGAAGGTGTAGAAAAGGTTCTATCTTTGAAGTGGCACTGAAGATACTTTAGAGTGATATCAAAGGAGTAATGAAACGGTCAAATTAAGTGGCATTGGAGTAGCACAGAAGTGCCCATCAGGGAATGAAGAAGTGCACATTTAAAGTTGCATTTTTAGTGGCATTAGTGTGTCACTGGAGCAGAAAGTTAGCTCTCACTGAAGAATCACCATGCCAACAGAGCCATATCTAATCTGGATGTTAAACTAAGACAACTGCCTGTTGGAGAGGCGACAAGTGTAGTCACCTGCTATTTTTGTAAAGTAAGGTCTACGAGTCTCTGCTGGGAACGCGTGGACGTTACACAACAGCACAATGGCTGTCTCAACATGGTGTAGAACTTAAACAGCTTTGCAACTTCTGATCTTTGACACCACTTCCTTGCCACTTCAATGCACTAGCAGCAACACAATCTACATAACTGCCTCCTAACTAAAAGGCAGCTAAGTTGCAGAAGTGCCCATTATTTGCCCTTTAACTGCCACTCTGAACCCCTTTTTTCACCAGGGACGCTCATTGTGTTGCATTCGTACATCTTCCTTTAATGTAAAAAATAATATTGATGAGAAGTCTATACACGGTTGAGACAAAGAAAACAAGATGGGGATGGATAGAAAATAAAGAGGAAGAGCCTGATCAGTACCTTAAAATTGGTTACAAACTTGAACATTTCATTAATACATTCACCATTAAACCCTGACACAACTTAGATAGAAAAAAGAGGGGCATAGGCCACTAGGCAAGACATTTTCAGATTTTCTCTATTAACAGGAAAAATTGACATTTGTTTTAAAGGAATAAGGTACTTATATCTCATTAAAAAATCACTAGGTTACACTGTAGGTATTTCAAAAAGTCAAATTTAAAATATAAACCCAAAAATGTGCTCAATTTATAAAACAAATGACAGATAAACAAAAGTTTAAAATTAACAGATTTGCTTTTTAATTGTTTCTCTCCAGTTTCACTCTTGAGTAATGTGTTTAATAAACATAAATAAATTTTCAAAGAAACACAGGTGCCCTTGAACACTAAATTACTATTATATGTACACATAATAGATCTTTAAATATCTAGTACTATAAATGAGAGGTCGCAACAGGCCATGGCTTTGGGTACAGGTACTCTGAAGTATATAATTTGTGCAATCTATTTATGACCTCAATTTATGGTCAGAAATTAAAAAGTGAGGGAGTTTAGAAGAACTCTGATTTAACATCAGGTACTTATAAGACTATCTATATTACTTTTCAACAGCAGTACAAATTAACAATTTGCTTGCTGTTGCTGAATCAAGTCAATGCTATTTATATTGAGCTCCTCTCTAAACTTACAAAGTAACAACACATTTAATTTTTAATCACAGTAAAATGAATTCATCCTAAAAACTGAAACAAGATGGAAAACAGGCCCCCATGTAGCAAACAACGTTTAACACACAAACAGTTTGAGTGCACTGTCAGCACAATATGTTTATAAACAAAAATTCCACACACATTGTTCACATGTCCAGCATGTTGCCCGTGACCAGACGGACAAAAAGGGAACAGAAAAAATGTTAAGGTCACTCTTTTTTCTCTTTCACGCTGCATAGTGGCAAAATTGCTGTGATCTGTGTATATAATCTGATAGGTTCACAGTATTATTCAGGTGAGAGAGAGTCATCTGGGATTACACATTGTGTCATATTTTTGAGTCATCAGCTTTAGCATGGAATTAATCATAACTATTGATGATAATCTACAATTTATTAAGAGAAAAGCCCAAGAGATTATACCTTAACTGTGGTCCATTTTAAAAGAATAATGAAAAGAGGATAGACATGTAGCAACGGAGAACTACAGAAATGATATACCAAAGCTTACTCCTAAGCAGGTAAACCGAGGGCCGCTAGGTAAACATTGACATTAACAGTATGAGTCAGAAAATGATTCTCAATCTATGCTTTCTATTGAACAATGAGTCTCTATTAACAGATCTCTGCCACCAGGCAAAGGTATGTATGGAAGACCTGACATTTCCTCAAATAGGCGCCATAGGAAAGCATTTTAAGTGGAGAATTCACTAGCAATCAGAAAATATTAGTTACTTCATATAAAATATCACTCATTGACTTTAAAAAATGTTTGTTAAAACGTCAAACTATGACAGATGAAATCAAAAGTTTTACAACCAAATTTATATGGTAATTAAATTTTAAAGGTAAAATAAAATCATACCTGACTGAAGTAATTAGACTTTGGGATTGCTTTTGGTGAGCATAGGAGACAAAAATAAGACTCCTTGAACAAATGTTAAAATTCTCCAAATGGATCTTTGTTGGAATAAAAAATAAATAATTCATGTTCAAGAAAACAATGGTCACATTACAGTATTTCTGAGCTGAGGTATGTAAGAATACTTCTAAAAAGAAGAAAAATCAGCGATTGGAGATTAGTGACGTTTCAGATCTTGACAAAACACAGACATACAGGTGACACCAATTCTAACACCACAGGAAACAAATAACATTTAGATGAACTTGAAAAATGAGACCTTTACCACTGACTATCTTAAGAGCTTATTGAAAACGAGAGAACACTTCACTGTTAGAGCTATAAGAGAACAAGTAAAACTTTCCCCCTCAATTAATACAAATGTACAAAATTCATAACACAGCTAATTAGAGCTTATAAGATTCTAAAATCATATCAGTACATAGCCCCAGATATATTGACATCTTTAGCTAGGCCAGCCTGTCAAAAATAAATTACACATGCAGATAGAAATAGTCTAAAATTACGCATATAAACCTAACCGATGTATTTTTGCTGACAAAAAATTGTGTAAGATGAAAACAAATGGTTTGGGACAAGATTCTAAATCAAACTCCTGTAAAAGAAAAGTAGAGGTTTAATAAGTGTTGTATAGAATAGCATCAGAAGAAAAACAAAGGAGTCACACAAATACATTACCATCTCTCCCTCATCACCACCTATGTCCAGCCACAGCAACCTAAGGCCATCATCTCCTGAAGAGCGTAGACTTTCGAACGGGGCCTTCATCAAAACTTTCTGTTCCCGGCCCAACGTATTAGCCTGGCCTTCAATTAGGGTGAAGCCATCTTCATAATGCAGTAACAGCTGACAGGGTTTTCTTTGCCACACGCACCCTGAAGAGTAGAACACAAAAATAATCAAAGAGTCAAACAGAAGTTAGATTGACAACTAGTTTAGTCAGCGGCACTCACTGCAAGCCAGCTCCCTCTGCGCAGCCACGGCGTTGTGGCTCCCCTGCACCAGGGTGCGCGCCCACGTGGCCAAGTCCCGGTGGGTCTCGGCGCGCAGCGTGTGCGCCTGCACGCCGTCCTGGCTGCCGCACCGCACCACCAGCGTGATGACCTCGTTCTGCCGGCTCGAGCTGGAGCTCACCAGCCGGGTGGAGAGCAGCGGACAGGTGTCCACTGGCGCCGCCCAGGCCTCCGGGCTCCAGGGCGCCGACTCGTACAGCCTCAGCTCGCGATCCGTGACGGCGGCGAACACGGCCTGCCACCGATCGGGGTCCTCGCTGCTCTCCGAGTTGGCCTGGCCGTTCTGAAAACCAAAGTTATCCGCCCAGTTAGAGCAAAGTTCAATCACATTTCGCTGTACGCCACTATTACACAGGTAATAACAGGGACACGAAGCGAAAGGGAGGGGGGGCGCTGGGCCTGCCGACAAGCAGAGCCCTACCTCAAAAGCGCTGCTGAACGACGGAGAAAAGTTAAAAAGATGGAAACAGACTTGAACGGCGAATATTTCCGACGACCATCCCGGTACAAAGTCAGAGGACGTACCTGCGCATCGGGCGGCCTCCTGGCCAGCCAGCCCATGAGCACGAGGTCCTGCACGGCGCCCTGCATGGTGGCCTGCAGGGTGCGCGCCGCCAGCTGCAGCGCCCGCGCCGTGAGCGCCTGCAGCGCCGAGTGCAGCGCGTTGAACCACGCCGTGGCGTCCGGCTGGTCGGCGGCGCGCAGCACGCACGCGTGCACGCCGTCGGGCGAGTGCAGCTCCAGGGTGCGGCCCTCTGCAACAGAAAGACAAGAGGCGGTCAGACCCGGGGGCGCCTAAAGGCCTCGAGCGCCTGACGGCAGCCGGGTAGGCCAGCCCGCGGCGCGCGGGGGCGTCACGGGACTGCCTACCCCACAGGCCCGCAGGGGCGCTTGCTTAGCCCCGCCCCCCGGCCCGGGCCTGGGCTGGGCTGAGGCTGGGGGACGGCGAGCGCGTTCATCACCGGGAGGGAGTGTCACCAACACTCGCAAATTCCAAGTGAAAAAGCGCGGTTAGTACAGGGAGGGGGGGGGGGGCTCCGCCGGGTGGCCCCGCCGGGCTGTAGTGCGTCTCCAAGATAAGGCACGGCCCAGCCTCTGGCCGCCCCTGGCCCCGCGCGGCCGGGCCCTCCGCGCCTCATTACATATTCAGTTGGCCCCACCCCGGCACTGCCTCAGGCACCGCCTCAGGCACTCCGGACGGAGCGCCCCGCCTCGGGGATGCTGTGCCGCAGATGGACCACGTGTGGCGGGCCCTGACCACCACTTGAGCCCGGCGCTGCAGATGGAGATGGACCACGCGCAGCCAGCGAAGCCCCCGTCCTCAGTGCTGACAGCAGTGACAGAGTGCCACTCTCACCCGCTCACTCACCCTCCCACCACACTAACTCACTAACTCAACTCACCCGCACATGAACTCACCCGCTCACTCACTCGCACACTCAACCACCCGCGCATTCATTCACCCAACCGCACACTCAACCACCCGCACACCAACTCACTAACTCACCCGCACACCCACCTCACCGACTCACCTGCACATTCAACTTACCAACCCGCACTCACCTCTTCAACTCACTCACACACCACACCCACACACTCACTCCAGTTCATTTTCGCGTAAAGCAAAAGTGACTGCCCTGCGCTCTGCCTCCACTCCTTTCTTTCCCCGACCCGCGCTCTAGCTCCGACAACGCCAGATAAGAGCTTGGAAACCTGGGGGCAGGGGAGGGAGGGGGAAGTGAGGTGACGGCCCGCCTGGGTTATGGTACGGTTGGCCCAGGCCTCGCCCGCTTTGCCCGCCTCGCCCTACCCCGGCCTCAGCCCCGGCCTTTCTCGCCGGAGGTGAAAAGTCGTGTAGGGTCGAAGGTATAGGTGTCCGAAGCAAAGAAAATGGGAGAAAGAAAAAAAATCCCCGCCGCCGTGCCTTTGAGTTCGCCCTTGGCTTCAGTCAGCAGTAGAGGCCCCGCCCCCAGCTCGCTTCTCTTTTTGTAGTGCACGTCTCAGCTTCGTTCTTGGCTATGAAGATCTCCAACCCACCCTCTCGGCTTCCTCAGTCCCGGCGACATAGTTTTAATCGCAGCCCGCAAGTCTGATCACGGCAGACAAAAGCCACCCTCCCGTCCCCCTACCACCCTCCCCTCCTGCACCCCTTCTCTGCGCCCCTTTCCGCTCCGATAGTCTTCTCTGCTCGCCAAATGACTGACGCCGGAAAGATAGTTATCCCCCGAGGAAATCTCAACCCGGGCGGACGAGCGAGAGCTCAGAGCGGCTGCAGAGCTGGAGTCGGACGGGCGCGTCCGACTCCACCTGAAGACCGGTGGCTCTACGAGGAAGGGGGCCCAACGCCCCGTGCAGCGCGCTGCTGTACACCATACCGGCGCCGCTATGGCCCATGGGGTGGCTGAGCTGGCCAGGCTGCTGGTCGAGCTGGCGGGCGGCGCCCACTCCCCTCGTCACAGTATGACACAGAGGCCAGCCCCCTGAGGCGGCCCTCGCCCCTCCCGCCCC